GTTCAGTGCCAACCACCCTCTGGGGGAAGAACCTTTTCCTGAGATCCAACCTAACCCTCCCCTGGCACAGCTCCAGCCATTCCCTCGGGTCCTGTCACTGGTCACAAGAGCTCAGTGCTTGATCCCTTAGTAATTCTGTGGTCCAGGAAACCTCCTGTCCCTCTAAAGACACCAAAGCATTTCCCTTTGGCTGTCCCAAGGGGGATTCCTTTGCATGTGCCACATGCCTGCCATAAAAATAAATTCAAAATTTGGTATTTTTGATGGGATGGGAGGATCTGGTGAAGTCAGGTCCCCCAGACACAATCCCAAGGGAACACGCACCGGGAGAAGATGGATCACATCCCCTGGAGACCCCGGAGTGATCAAGTACATCCTAGTGGAAGGTGTCCCTGCCCATGGCAGAGGGGTGGAATGAGATGGGCTTTAAGGTCCCTTACAATGCAAACCACTCCGGGATTCTGGGATTCCGGTGATTCTGGTTTTGTGTTCCCGATGCCGCTTCCCTTGTCTCTGCTCCACGAGCTCAGAAGGAGCCGCCAAACCAGAATTACTTTCCTGCCAGCAGGAATCATGTGTGCACCCCCTGCTCCAGCGCCCAGGCTGGGAGGAACAGCCCTGGAGTGTTCCCTGTCCAAGCCTCTCAGTGCTCCCTGTCCCAGCCCCGCTGGCACATTCCCAGGAGCGCAGGGCTGGGACAGGTCCCGGCTGCGGGACCGGCCCGACGTGTGTGAGCAGAAGCTGCTCTGTGTCACCCGGGCGTGCCGGGACACGGCTCCCGGAGCACCGGGGACGGACGTGGGCGAGCGCTGCGCTTCCAGAGGGGTTGTCCAGGGATGGAGTTTCACTGATTGGAATTACAGGGAGTGTCCCGAGAGAACACGGAGTTGTAAACCCGATGATGCATCACAGAATCACAGAGTGGTTTGGGCTGAAAGGGACCAAAAGGATGATCCAGTGCCACCCCCTGCCATGGGCAGGGACACCTTCCCCTATCCCAGGTCGCTCCAAGCCCCATCCAACCTGGCTTTGGACACTTCCAGGGATCCAGGGGCAGCCTGTGCCAGGACCTCACCGCCCTCACAGTGCAGACCCACCATGCCCAGACAGGGATTTATCCCCACACATTCCCGGCTCTCTCCCGGTTCCCCGCGGCCGGTGCCGGGCGCGGTCCCAGCCGGCCGCTGCCCCTTTAAGGTTCGCCCCGCCCCCCTGCGCGCGCCCCGCGCTGACGCGTGATCGCGTGGCGCCTCTCCCCACCGCGGCCCCGCCCCCCGCTCTCTCCCACCAATCAACGCTGAGGCCACGCCCCCTCCCTCCTCCTCCCTCCGCCCCGCGCGGGGCGCGGCACCGCCTCCCGCGCACGCGCGGCTGGCGGGCGGGAAGGCGCGGGCGGAAGGCGGGCGGGGCGGGGCGCGGCGCGCGCGCGGCGCATGCGCGGGGGCGCGGCGGCGGCGGCGGCAGCGGGGCGGAAGCGGGCGCGGGCGCGCGCGGCCCCTGTTCCGGCGGCGGCGGGTGAGGGAGCGCGGCCCGGACCGCCCGGCACGGCCCGGGCACCCTCGGGGGGCACCGCCCGGCACCCATGAGCTGAGCGCCGCGGCCGCCGCACAGCCAGCAGCGGGCGGAGCCGCCGCCGCGGGCCCGGCGGAGCAGCGGGAGCCGCCTCCCCGGCGCCCCATGCGCGGCCCGCGCTGAGCCCCGCCCGCCCCCTCTCTCGCCGCCGGGGCCCGGCGCTCGCCCTGCCGCCCTCCCTTGGATGCCGCCGAGATGGGCAAGGTGCTGTCCAAGATCTTCGGGAACAAGGAGATGCGGATCCTGATGCTGGGGCTGGACGCGGCCGGCAAGACCACGATCCTGTACAAGCTGAAGCTGGGCCAGTCGGTGACCACCATCCCCACCGTGGGCTTCAACGTGGAGACCGTCACCTACAAGAACGTCAAGTTCAACGTGTGGGACGTGGGCGGCCAGGACAAGATCCGGCCCCTCTGGCGGCACTACTACACGGGCACGCAGGGGCTCATCTTCGTGGTGGACTGCGCCGACCGCGACCGCATCGACGAGGCGCGGCAGGAGCTGCACCGCATCATCAACGACCGGGAGATGCGGGACGCCATCATCCTCATCTTCGCCAACAAGCAGGACCTGCCCGACGCCATGAAACCCCACGAGATCCAGGAGAAACTGGGCCTGACCCGGATCAGGGATAGGAATTGGTATGTGCAGCCCTCCTGTGCCACGACGGGGGATGGACTCTACGAAGGGCTGACGTGGTTAACGTCCAATTATAAATCCTAATGGGGAGAGGAACTATTTAGTCTACAAAGAATTAAAGAAACAAACAAACAAACAGAAAAACAAATTTAAAAAAAAAAATAACCCACGTGGCTTTCCAGAAGAATGATTCTCTACTGAAAAGTAAAAAAAAAAATAAAAAAAAATAAAAAGCATCCATAGGATTACGATCACCTTTCTGCCACCCTTTCTTCCTGCACCCTTGGCTGGATTCCTGTTCTAACTCCTCCTGCTTGGCGTTAGGATGCTCTAACCTCGGAATGGGACACGAACACAGGCACTAGATGCTATGCCAGACTTCCAGCAAACAGGGGAAGGACACATTGTAGACTTGCTAAGTAACTTTTTTTTTGTTGGTTTTTTTTTTTGTTGTTGTTTCCTCTCGATAGCCCTTTGCTGGTTTGAATTATTTTGGGGGGATGTTGGGGGAGGGGGTCCATTTTTCAGTGTATGCTTTCTGGGTCTACTTTTTTTGATTATATATATTTTATTTTTTTTTCCTCTCTCTCTCACTTTGCTGTAGATTGCTACTTTTTTGCATTCCTGCAGGATATGTTGCTAGGTCGACTTCATCTAGTAAACTGAAAATTATTGCTTAAAATCAAACCGCAGTCTGTCTTTTTATATTAAGGACTTTTTTTTTCTTCTTCTTTTTTTTTTTTTTTTTTTTTTTTTTAAAAGAAAAGTTCTGTTAATCTGTAACTAAACAGCGACTCGGTCTGGCTCCACGGCTCAGGCTAACGAGGGGAATTCTTGCCTGCAGTGGCAGAGAGTGGGAATTCCACTGTTAAGGTGTGTTTCGAAGTGCATATCGGGCGCCGGGAAATGTTAAGAACTGCTTTTGGAATGTCAGCTGGGGAGCTCTGCCCCATCATACATCATGCATGAGGAGGGGATGCAAAGCAGCTCCCCACGCCACACAGCAAGCGGGACAGGAACGATGTCCGTAGTTCCAGGTCAGGGGTTTTTTTTGGTCTTAAAATGACGTTTAGTTGCAGTTTTTTGCTACTCGGTGCCGGTCCCCCCCGAGTGGAGGTTCCTTCCAAAAGCAGATGCAGCGTTACAAATGTTGCAGCGAGTTTTGCTTTGAATCGCAGATGTTTAGGCGAAAATCCAGCACTGACTTGCCTCTACCTTAAAAGGATTCCTGGTCCTTTCCAAACAGAAAGAAGGAAACCGTTGTTATTGTTATTATTTTTCCATGTTGGAGCCTTGAGAAAAGGGGCGAGTTCCTCGCTGAGCTCGACTCGAGCCCGGTGGTTTTGACATCAGTTATGGCCATTTTGAGGAAATCACTTCTTGCTTTAGTTTTCCAAGCCTGGACCGAGCTCCTGCGAGTAGCTGGAGCCTCCCGTGTGTCCCGGTTGTTGCTGTAGTCCTGTAGGAAAGGGAACTATGTGTGAAGCCCATTGAGTAACTGCTATTGAGAGCTGGGAGGGGAGAGAAAGAGAGAGAGAGAGAGAGAGAGAATCGACGCTGAATGTAAACTTCCATAATTAGTTCTTAAAGGGCAAGCAGCTCGTTAGCCATGTCACAGCCTGTAGAGGTGACTGGCCAATCAAAAACCCCACCCAGGGCGAGTATTTGCATAAAAAACTCAATCAAGTATTAATTAACGCTGGGTGCACAAACTGTTAAAGCAGCTGGTTCTTATTCAGCCTTAAGGATTAACTTCAGATTTCCTCAAGGAGTTAGAACTCCGGTGGGGAATTCTAGGAATGTATGCTACAAAACCAGAAGAAAATGGCTTTTATTTTCCTTTTTTTTTTTTTTTAACCTCTCCTTAATTTTTTTTTTTGTTTTTTTTTTGTTTCCAAGAATATAAGTTTTACGTGGAATTGGGGGCGTTACACTACATTGCTGCAGTGGTGACTCTGCATGGAGAGTACGTTGTATTATGGAGCTCTTACCAAAGATGTGTGGGAAGACAAAAATCCTGAATTCACTTCTCAAATCCAATGCTTTGCTCGAAGTCCTTTTAGAATATGGTTCCAAAAAGACTTGTCTGGATGTGGGTTGCAAATGGGACTGGATGGGTTCTTGGTGCTAGAAGATAGAGCATTGATGGACTTTGTGAGTTAGGGAGTCTGGAGAAGCTCAATGTAGAAATAACTCTTCAATCTCAGCCCTAAAGAAGAGGAAGTGGGATTAGTTTACTTTAATCCAAGGCTTTTTTGCCGTTGGAAAAATCATTGCTCTATTTTCTAGCTTTTATTTTCTTTTTTTTTTTTTTTCCTGTTGCTGTAACTTAACAAACAAGTGTGGTGGTATAAAAACTTAAAAAAAAAAAATACAAGAGTATGGTTACTGTTTTCTTCTGGAGCATCAATAAAATAGCCAAGCACAAAGTAAATGCCTAAACTGGAAAACTTGAAGCTCTATTAATGGTTCTTGAACTTTCTTAAACCTATTCTCAGTCAACATGAAAACTTCAGTAACTTCATTTTTCGTCTGAGTTGGTTTCCTGTGTTTCCAAGTGCTGGGGCAGCCTTTGCGTTGACTTCACAACTTTGTATTCCCTTAGTGACTTTGTTATTCTGTTTTTGTAGGTGAAAGGAAACTGCTTTTGCTTCTGGAATTTTTTTAATGTTTTGGGGTTTTTTTTTTGGGGGGGGGAGGAACGGGGAAGGAGAAAGGGGGAGGAAAAGTTACTGAAAGATGTGGCAGAGATGTCAAAAATAAAGGGCCGTCGGTACCGAACAAACCCCACAGGTTTCACTTCCAACATGTCCTTTCTAGGCTGTAGCTGAACCTCCACCACGAGGTAGTGGCTCACAGGCCGGATAAAGTGGGAATCCTGTACGAAACCTGGTGATTTCCAAACCCATCTGGAGTTCCAAGCGCGTCGATTCGTGTCCGTGTGAGTTCTGTGGAGTAAGTTCTGAGTGGCGTCAAATCGTGTCCGACCAGTGACTGAGTTTGTGGCCTGTGACCCCCCCTGACTGGAGTAACCAGGAATTCTGTGTTCTCAATATGGCTGTAGTGTTGGTAAAGAACTACTAAGCAGAAAAAATAAAGCAATTACACAGCGGAGCTCTCCTGGTATGTTGCTTATATTTAATTACGAGAGAAACAGAAAGGGGCAATCTGGTGGCGTTGTGCTGAGATAAAGAGGGCTCTGTTCTGGATCTCCCAGCTCGGAAGCCTGGCTGTAATTCCTTGGAGAATTAGATGAGTGACTGTTTTTATAAGTGGAAAAGGACGGTGCTTCTTTAATATTCCCACTTGGCGTTTAATAATCTCGAGCAAATTTCAGTGTCAGGGTTATCCAGCCTCGGTGCCAGCCCCACGTAACTTGGGAAGCTGTTCCACGGAGGGGATTGCTTGGAAAGGGAGGACAGGAGGCCGGTGTAGGACATGCAGGGATGGACAAAAGGGCTGCTGAGTGACTCGAGGTGCTTGTGGAGCGACAGATGTGACGCTGGGGCTCTGTGGTGCCTGAGCAGGACACGAGTGAGCCGATAAAAGGACTTGGGCAGGTGCTGGGGCTGTGGGGGGGCCGGGATGGGAGCAGCGGGATACGGACACTGCGACAGCTGCCATCCCATGGGAGAGGCAGCGGGGTCACAGCCTGGAGCTGGGCTGCTCAGGCTCTGCTGGCAGAGTCTCCGAGGTGGCTCCCACAGCTCCAGGTGTGAGGCCGAGTCTGGGAACTGTCTTCTTGTTGCAAAGCTTTTGGGAATCCTCGGGAAGCATCGTTACCTGGGCTAGTCAGTGGCATCCCTACCTGTGGCAGAGGGTTGGGAATAGATGGTCTTTGAGGTGCCTCCCCACCCAAACCATTCCATGGTTATCCAGCCAGGTGGGAGTCCCTGGGCTCAGGGGTGGTGGATTCCCTGCAAAGCCTTCCCCTTCCAGGGCGTTCGGGCTCTGTCTACTTGGATGTCAGCTCAGGGTGTGGCTGTGTAAATGAACTTACTCTGGCTTAATTAAACTCCTCGGAGTTGGGAGACAGGGCTCCAGAGGGGGAAACTCGTGTCTCTCTCGTTGTAGTAGTGAGTCACATCTCAAAATGCCGGCGCTTATCGGGCCGCGGGGAGCGTGACTCTGAACTGCACCCTGACTCACTCAGGGCTCTGCCCTCACTCACAGGGCTCTGATCCTCATGGACAGGGCTTGGAAAAAGTGTGCCTGCCGTTCCTAATGCGAGATTACCCCTGCTAATCCAAGTCCTCCTAAAGGAATGTGTCTTGCTTTAAAAACGTTGTCAGAACAGCTGGACACGAGGTCTGTGAGAGCCGGTGGTGGACCTGTGGTTATATCCCTTCTCACTGGGAATTGGGAATGGGAAAAGCAACTGCCAGGAGTGGAGAGCTCGCTGCAGAGTGTGGAAGCAGCCTTGGTGTGAGCACTGTGACTCAGACTTCCCTCTAAAGCACGACCGTGCTTTTTATCTTGGATTTGCTTCCCATATCTGTCCAGCCTGAAGGGCTCAGCGTGTGGGATCCGAAATCCCCTCGGCTTTGGAGCTTTCTGGAATGAAAAAGAAAAGCTTCCCCCTCACCTCATGGGGAAGAATCAGCTTCCAGGGGCTGTTGGTGAGAAAGTGTCACCTCTGCTGACTAACTCAGTTCCTTTTCTGGGGTCCCACGCGCGGCCCCGGCACCGCTCAGGGCTGTGTTTCGGAATTACGTCTGAGCCGACGCTCTCAGGGCTTCAGGCCGAGGTGGAGCCCCACAGTCCAGCTCACTTTCAAAACTGTGAGCACCCAGAGAGCAGAATGGTGTAATTTTAGCCCCGTGTTAGCTCTGGAGGGTGCAGGGCTGAGTCAGAGCTCGTGGGGAAGGTGGTTTTTACAGGCAGGAAATGGGGTGTGCGGCGGGTTGTCCAGGAAGTGCCTCTGCTCTTGCTTAAGAACAGGTATCTCTGGCCTCCTTAAAAAAAGGAGGGGGGAAAGAAAAGAGTCAAGATGTGACTCATCTGCTGAGTCTCACAGCGGTTTAACAGGCTCTGGCTCCTGCTTTGCCTCTCAAGTTTTCCCTTCCAGAGGATGCACTTCACTCCTCTGCTCCTGGTTTCTTTAGTTGCGTCTCCCAGGACAGCTTTAGTTAGGAAAAATACTTCAGCAGGGTTTAATGGGTGTCCTGAGAGATGGAAGTTGGTGATGCTTGGAAATTGGTAGCACTTAAAACACTTTGTTTTCCCCGTGAGTTTTTAGGTGAGGACAATTCCCAGGGGTGCCACCAGCAACTCCTGGACCTGTAGAGGTATCCTGGTGCCCAAATTGCCCTTCAGTGGGTGAAAACTCCTTTAGTGGTTAAACAGAGGAGGGGAGGGGGCCAAGGTGTAGAAAACAGCCTGAATTCCTGACTGTGAGGGGGTTGAGGCCCTGGCACAGGTTGCCCAGAGGAGCTGTGGCTGCCCCTGCATCCCTGGAAGTGTCCAAGGCCAGGTTGGACAGGGCTTGGAGCAACCTGGGCTAGTGGAAAGTGTCCCTGCCCATGGCAGGGGGTTGGAACTGGTTGGTCTTTAAAGTCCCTTCCAACCCAAACCATTCTGTGTTTCTGGTCCTATGAACTCCTAAATTATCCCTGTGTCTGTGCCTAGAATGGATTCCTTGTTTGTACTGTAATGGGTGTAACTCTGCCTGGGCCAGGCACCGGCTTCATCCCAAAGTTTCATTCGGATGTAGCAGGAGGGGAGGTTTTCTCTCTCAGCATTGCAGGAGATGAAAATCCATGGAAAGCTGAAGCAAACACTGTGCTGATCCGATGGTTCTTTGGCTGGTTTATGGGAATGCACTTTTATTTCACATTTTGGGCTGAGCTGCAGCTCTGAGGGTCGTGAGGGTCCATCAGAGCACGGCACCCGCCTGGATGGAGAGGAGCAGAACCCCAGAATACCTCTGCCATTCATTTCAACTGGTATTTGGAGAACGAACCCGTCCCACGAAGGGTGGGAGCTCCAGGGTTTGCAGGGCCTGGTGCTGACAGCTCCTGCCTGGGCAGCGCCGCTGGCTTGGCGCTCGCTCCGAAGGGGACTTTGCACTTTGCCCATGGAACGTGGGATTGCGTGGTCCTTGTGCTGTTAATATTTGCTGTTTTCGCCCTGAGGAGCTTTGTTACATTTTCCCTTGGGAAGTGGGGGGGCTGTCGTGGAGCAGCACAACCCCGTGGCTGGTAACTTCCAGCAGACCGGGATGCGCCGGTGCAGTTATCCCATAACTGAACATCTGCCGGGGCTCCTCTCCCCACAGGGGCTGGATTAGCCTGGAACTCACCCAGCTCTCTGGGAAGCTTTTCCTATCACGTACCTGTGGCTTCCAGGCTGCTGCCCTGACTGTAACCAAGCCCAGCACCCGCCTCATGCCATGGAGAGCAGGGAAGCAGGGATTTGGCTCTGCCTTTCCATCCAGAGCAAGTCTGTCTGTTAAGTGTTCAAATTGCATCGTGTTTAAATGTCCAAATTCCACCCTATATATATCATAGTTACTCATATTTTCAATATAATGAGTGTTCTGGGCTGGGATGACCCACGTTGGACTGGTTTTCATGTCAGCACAGGAAATAAAAGCATTTTGAGAGGGAGGTGAGGGGCAGCAGCAGGACAGACAGTGCTGGTGTGCTGGGTGAGTCCTTACTGCCCGGCACAAAGGTCTGGGACGAGCTTCCCCAGCACCTGCTCGCTGGAAGATGAGCCAAGCTCAGCAGGGCTGGGGTGGAAGGTGCTGAATCGCTGCCAACGAGCTGTCCCTACATCTCACTCTGGCTCATCTTACAGCCTTGGACTTGCTAATGAATCCAAAGTCCTCCAGCCCTTGCCTCCAAACATCCTGAGTGTGTGGCGTTTGTGAGCCAGGAGCACCGTCCAGGCTGGGATCTGGGAGCTCCTGCCACTCTCCTGCGGCACCGCTCTGTCCAGGACCTGCTGCTGGCCACGTTGGCTGCAGCATTCCGGCCTCTCCAGGGAGGGCTGGGAATACTGCAGACCTGGGCAGTGATGTGTTTTCCTTTAAGGAACGCTGCCTGCAGCCTGGCAGCTGCAATCTCAGGATCTCGCTCCTGCCGTACCTGTTTGGCTGATTCCCCGTGGAGAAATCCTCCTCTGCATTTTCCCCTTGATGGGAGGTTATGCTTTTAACCACTGGCACCAAAACTTCCCAGCTCCTCTTTCCACCATGGCCCTTACTATTTTGGAAGGGGGATGCATCTCCCCACGAGGACAAGCTGCAGCTTTTCCACCTCGTTGGGAGCTGCCTGTGGGTTTCCTTGGCTCAAGGCCTCCAGGTCACAGCCTGAAACCTCTTCCTCCAACACTACATTCACTTTTTGCCTCCTCACCATTCTGGTGGTCCCCTGGAACACTGACATGGGGGAGAAGGGGCTCCATAGCTCCTCTTTCCCCTCTCCCAGGCTCTCCAGCACTCCTGCTCCCCCTGGAAACTCTCCGAGTAGTGAAACTGGTTAATCACGTTGACACTGGAGGAGTTCTGGCATCCCAGAGCGGGATCTGCGGATTAACTCCTTCAGGTGTTTGCCAGCTTCTGGGCAGCCTGATGCATATGTAACTTTTGGGCCTTTGGAAAATCTGGAGCTTCCCAACTCTTGAGGGTTTATGAACTGATGTCTCTCCTCGCAGCTCCCTCCTCTCTCGGGTTGCCAATTAACCGTGGGCGCTCCACGACAGACACGGAGTGTTTTGCCGCCGGTTCCGTTGTCTGGAGAAGAGGCCTCCGGCACCCACAGCTTCCTCCTGGGCTCTCTCCCACCTCCCAGCACCTGCCCTGGGAAAACCAGGTGCTACTTAAGGCGTTGGATCCGTGGATGTGTTTAACATCTGCCAAATCCCCGGCATCCCCAGCTCGCACCAAGGAAGGCTCCGGGATATCCTCAGCTGCGTGGGGCCGGAGCAGCCCGATCCCAAACCTGCAGTTCAGGCTGGAGCACTTGCAGATGGCAGATAGGGAGGGAGAGGTGACTCATGGAGATTAAATATCCTGCTGCTCCTGCCTCCTTGGCAGCGATGGCTCAACACACCAACGGCAGATCCAGCCGGCTCCGTCATTCCTGGTTTTCTTTTGCCTCCGGGTGCAG